TTTTTTTTTTTTTTTTTTTTAAATAAATTTATAAAATCGTAGCAAACATGGCTAATTTTAATTTCAATAAATTCAAACTGATGGTCAATCGTATAAATGATGGATTAATCAATAAATCGATCGTCATTCGTATCATATCAATGATTAATTATATAATTGTACATTATATTTACTTCTAGTATATGTGTGTAATGTATTAATTAATGTAATACATATATTCTCAAGCAGAGTTGTCAGAAATGAGAAATGAATTTCCTAGATTTATTATTCTTTTTTGTAACTAATTTTAATCAATCAGTGCCTGCCGATTCTCCAAGCACGAGTATTGCAACGATATTCCCCTTTTCTCTCGAGCATCTTCCAAATGAATCGTATAATTGATAAATATAATCAAACAGCCATTAACCATCGTGGAAAACGCACCCCATAAATTCGGCAAGTTCGCACTAACGATCATCCCGCTTGAAACACAAAATGCACGCGCCCGTACATAAGGAATTCTTCCGGAATCAGGATGTATCTCCCTCGCCCCGTCTCTTTTTCTCCTTCTGCTTCTCCCACCGGGGGTGGCCAGTGTCTCGGGGGCGGTCATATATCATCCACCCCCGGAGGTAGTGGCAAAAAATCTTGCCGAGCAAAAACTATCATCAGTGCTCGGGCAGAGCGAGATGAACGCCTCCTCTCTACTCCTTCTTCTTCTTCTTCTTCTTCTTCTTCTTCTTCTTCTTCTTCTTCGTCTTCTTTCTATCCGCTTTGCTTTCACATCTCCTTCGTCCCTCTCTTCCCATTCTTTTTGTATATCACTGGCTCTTTTCACCGGTTTCAGGAAAGGGCAGGAAGAATCGAAACTTGCGCCGCCACGAGAAAACGTCTCGACCCAAGTTCATTAGGTTTTCAGGGTTTGCTTTTGGCAGCGTTTAATGAGAAGAAAGATAAAACTGTCCTCTCTCTCCCCCTCTATCCTCCCACGTTGCCTAGCATCCCTAGCAGAGAATTCGGATGGATCGTGGAAATCTTTTGTCACGTTTCAATCCTGGCGAGAGAGTTGACATTGAAAATTTCTCCGATATAATTAATTGGCGATTCGGAAAAGATTCGTTCGTCGACTTTTCACTTGCATACAACTTTATCTTTTAATCTTGGAATTTTTATGATATTGAAAAGACTTGAAATAGAAGATTTTTGTAACGCAGTTAACCACTATCCATACTGTCCGACTGCAAAGAGTCGGAATTGAAAATATTTTTAATATTATTTCTCTTAAAGAGATAAAAGTGTCAACTAGATATCCTGGGATATAGTGAAATTTTTAGGAACCGAGAGTTTTATTTTGAAGGAAACAGGAGTTACAGACAGGGATATCGGAAATAGTCTTCTTACAAATATTTTGATCCTTTTTTAATCCCAAACATTCGACTTTCGAATTCTAATTTTGCGAAAAAGATATATTAATTAATATTCATCCTCGTCGAAAAAATTTAACCATATTCACTCCGCGTCTCGACGAAATATCGACATTCCCGTTTGAAATTCGTTCGCGTCGTCCCATAAGCTACCCGCTTTGATACCCGGGCTAGGGTGCAGCTCTTCCCGACCACTCTCACGGTAATTGACATCCCCGATTTTATGAAGCTACTTTAACCGACTGAAAATACACTTTTTCACGTCCTCCTCCGTTCGATCCATCTAATTGAAACACTTTGTTCCTCGGCGTCTATAAAGTATCCCTTTCTTTCCGAGAGGGGGAGGAGAGATGATACCGAAGATAATTCACGTAATGCGACAAATTAGAAAACGAGCGACGTTCGAGTTATTTCTCCGGGATTTCCATGTTTCACGACACGAGCGAAGAACGACGTGCAGAAGAAATCGCGAGGGAGAGAAATGAAAAAAGAAAGGAAGAAAGTGTCGAGTGGCTGGAAGAAGGAGGGAAAATGGTGGAAGTTGCTTCGACTCTGAACTGGCTGCAAAGGCCTCCTGCAATGAATCAACTTATTTAAGGGTAGTTGGATTTCGCGAGTCGATGCACGACGACTACGAGCCACCCCTCTTGGCCCCCGGTGTCCCTTCTTCTTTAACGCAGCACGCTTCGTAGAATGATTTATAGTTTTCCTTCCGTGGCCACCCATCCGTCCTCCCCTCGATCCCCAACCTCCTGCTCGCGCAAACGGCACCCCTCTGCCAAATGTACGCAAAATAGTCGGAATTTGTTCGGCACCGTCCTGGCTGAAGTTAAATCCTGCTGCGTGCACACGAGCTAATAGAACTACTGGATTATGAAGTACCCTATTTTATACATTAAAATATGTACGATTACGATTATTCGATGCTCTGTAAAATAGAAGACAAAACAAAGGGTGTCTATTTAATTATTCATCTATGTATATTTGTTTTAGAATTCTATTTCATAGGTGTGCAGATTTTTTTAACAGACTCGCAAGGAAACTTCAATGTTCAATGAAAATATGAGAAAGTTTAAAAATATTGTGTGAAAGTATTGACAACGACTGATAGGAAACTGATTAATCGAAACACCTCTCGCGTTAGATTCTTTTACTCCTTAGCTTTCCAATTGTGTTCAAATAAACTTTCTGATATGTACTGTAGTATTATTAAGGACATTAGCGTCATTGAAGGCTAAGCAGTTATCAGAACAGAAAACTTAAAATCCTTGAAGCTTCGAACAGAAAAAGCAAAAGACATACTGACAAAACAAATACGAAATAAGAAACGAATAAAATTCGATAGTATAAATCAAATGAAATCAATTTGCATTAACGCAACAGATTCGTTCTTCGTGAGTTAATGTGCTTAGTTAACTGAAAGACGCGAATAGAAGAACAGCAAGAAGCGAGAAAAATTGGCAGAGAATTGTAAATTGTCAGTTTACTTCGAGACCTGGCTCGCGGATGGCTCAAGGTTCCTCTAAATAATTATTAATGATCATCAGGGTGAAAGTGTGACTTCGATCGTGTTGACACTGCATTGTGAGCCGCAGACAATGCTACGGTGGCTTTCTGAAACCTGTGCCTATGGGTTTGATGGAGGAGCAAACGCGATGGCGGCACGGAGGGCATAGTCCGTAATTAATAACTTGGAATTGATTAAGGTGTCAGATAAGTCCATGGAGACGGTGGTTCGTGGCTCTTTCTCCCCTTCGCCGGTCGCCTCTCTTTCTTCATCGGTGCGACGCGTTACGATATGATTAATAATTTCGAGATAACGCGCGCGCCGTCCCTGCGTCCTTGTCCCTTTGAGAGGGACCGATTTGCGGCCCCACTTACGGCCTCATAAATGACTAATTATTTTCACTGTCCTCGCCCGTTTCTGACCACTCTGCTTAAAAGGGGAAATCAGGATGTTCGGCTTGATTTCCACCATTTTTTTATTCCGATATCAATGAATTAATATTACGAATTAGAACATGTTCAGGTTGTAATGCACCAACGTCATAATTCGATTTAAGCAGACGTAACCGAAGAAAATTAGCATTCAATTGTAGATGTCAAAGATAATTAACATCTAATTAAAATGATGGTTGAATTTTGGTAATTAGAACATGCAGAAATAAGTAAGAGACTGTAAGTCTAAAAAATTGAGTAACAATTGAGTAATAAATTGAATAGGAAATTAAGTAATTGA